GGTATTACTGAGCTGCACTGATCATGGTCATGGTAAATATTTATGTCCTGTGTCTGACAGTGTGTTAAGGAATGAAGCTCAATAAACTCTGCACTGCTGACAAACCCACTCTGATTATTTTTGCCTCATCCTTTTCATTTCTGTAACAAGTTGGCAGGTTTGCATGTGGAACAGCCTGTGCTGCAAGATGAAGGAGCTCCTATCATCAAGATTTCCACTACCTTTCCAGGCATTTGGACTGGGCTTTTAAGAAAGGGTACTTCTTCAAAGAGGTACATGATGTTTCACCTCTTAAATTTGCAGCATCTAACTGGGAGATACAGAGCCTTCTCTTCTCCTGGACTGGAAGTCAAATGCCTAAAAAGGGCTAAAAGCAAATGGGTCAGTCCAGGAGTGGTAGAGTAAGGACCCTCTGTTTTCTGTAGCTCTTAGTACATCCTCTGTTGTCTAGTAACATGCATATGCCAGATGAAACTTGGGGTGGGGAGCCACGCATGCAGGATACCTGTTCCTTGTGTGGCTGCTCTGAATGAGATGTCACACAATGGACTTTCCTGCACAGGTTAAATGAGTGAGGGCCGTGCTCTATTCCTTTGTCTCTTCTAAAGAAATATGTGAAAACTTACCTTTGCAGCTGTGACCACACTATCAAAGCTGCTTATAGTTGGCCAAGGGGTTCAAATGTTCATGGTGAAGTAGGGAAGAGGAACCCCACAACTGCCTCTGTTGCCCTGACACACGTGGTTTGCAAATGAGCAATCAATGAGCTCCTGAATGAGAGCATGACCATTCCAGGGAGGCACTTAAGCCCTGTGGTTAAGACAGTCACCCAAGGAAAGGGAGTCTTCCAGGGGTGGCTGCTGCGTATACTGCAACCCCGGCTGCCCACCAGGCAACCTGGTCCCAAGTGGATCTCCCAGACAGGCCCTAGTGCTTTTCTCCCATCACCTCTTCTCTGGGAAGCCTCAGTAAAAAGTGGCAAATGGCTCAGCGCCTTGTGTCGCTATGGGGATGGTAAGGGAGAAGAACCACTGCTCTACACAAGATATCTCTGACATACCTGGGTCCACTTTCAGGTCAATGTTCATCTTGTGTTTCTGGGGTTGTCAAGGTCTTAAGCAGGTTGTCTGCTTGGAGGAGAGTTATCCTGGAAGGATTTCACTTGTGCACCTAACTGAATACCAAGTAAATAATTTTAATGTGCTTTAGCCTGTTATTTTTTACACTGCCCTTTAAACATTGCTTTACTTTTGCTTTGCACAGAGACAATCAAGGAAAAACGTTTACTGGTTTTTGTTTTGGTGTTTTTTGTTTGTTTGTTTGTTTGTTTCCCATTTCACTGTGAGTTTGTTTTTAATATTCAGAGACCATCAGTGTAACTTTCACACAGAGTCATATTTGTGCACTTAAAATTTTACACCTTGGGACAGGGAAGCCTCTCTGGTTTTTTCCCCTGTTCTTTTTTAGTCTGGACACTGACTATTCTGATCCTGAATCAACAAAACACTTAAACATATGCTAAGATGAAGGAATAACTATCTAGCTAACTAAGCTCTCTCATTTTTTTACATGTGCCACATAATCACTAAATAAATATGTCTACAAATATGGTCAATAAATGCTCTCCCTAAGGTCTGTAAGTTTCATACTGAAAGCAATTGGATGGATTAACATTATCTCAGCATGCTGAAGAGCTTGGCTGGATCAGGGACAGGGTGCTCAATACCTTGAAGACTCACATTGCTAAAGAGTCTGGGTGATAATTTCAAGGCTCTTCCCCACTACTACTAAACTGCATGGAAACTGGGTTTCCAGTTCTCCACACTGACATTGAAGGTTGTGCTCTACATCTAGTAAGTACTAGTAAATGAGAAGCTGGACATGAGCCACCAATGTGCAGCAGCAGCCCAGAAGACCTGTCACATCCCGGGCTGCATCAAAAGAAACGTGACCAGCAGATGGAGAGAGGTGATCCTGCCCCTCTGCTCTGCCATGGTGAGACCTCACCTGGAGTCCTGTGTCCAGCTCTGGAGCCCCCAGCACAAGAAGGATGTGGACCTATTGGAGTGTGTCCAGAGGAGAGACACAAAACTGATTAAAGGGCTGGAGCACCTCTCCTGTGAGGAGAGGCTGAGGGAGTTGGGGTTGTTCAGTCTGGAGAAGAGGAGGCTCCAGGGAGACCTTACAGGAACCTTCCAGTATCTGAGAGGAGCCTACAAGAAAGCAGGGGAGGGACTGTTCACAAGGGTTTGTAGTGACAGGACGAGGGGTAATGGCTTTAAGCTAGAAAAGGGTAGATTTAGGTTAGACATTAGGAAAAAGTTCTTCAATATGAGGGTGATAGACCACTGGAATAGGTTGCCCAGACAGGTGGTGGAGGCCCCATCCCTGGGGACATTCAAGATCAGGCTGGATGAGGCTCTGAGTAGCTTGATCTAGTTGGAGATGTCCCTGCTTATGCCAGGGGGGGTTGGACTAGATGACCTTTAGAGGTCCCTTCCAGCCCAGACATTCTATGATTCTATGATCTGTCTTTTGCTTTCTTCAAGATTAGAAACATATATTTTGTTATGGAGAATGATTTTGATTTTGTTGAATAACATTCTCTTCTTAGCTAAAATAGACTCACTCACAAATAAATAAGAAAGGGCAATCTAATGCAAATAAACAGCAGAGGAAATACCGGTTCACACAACATACTATTAACCTGTAGAAATTGTTGCCATAGCATGGTGTCTAGCCCAAAACACAGAAAACATCAAAGCACAGACTGAAGAGTGTTTCTGAAAGATTCTGAAAGGCTTTAGAAAGGCTATAAAACTCCCTGTTTCAAGATTAAAGCAAGAATTAATTATTAAGGGTAAACAGAAGACAACAAGGAGAGGAACAGATTCTCTCCCACCCAGAGTCCATCCAACCCTTTTGAGCAGCATCCATGGCTAGTCACAGTAAAAGCCAGAATACAGTTGGATAGAATAGGCACAGAACTGAGAATGGTATTGGTATATTTATCTTCCTCTGTAAAAATAAAAAAATTAAGAAATGAGTGCAGAATTTATCTTTCAAGTTCTTCCTACCTTCCTGGTGTTTTTCCAAATCAGAAAAAAAAAATAACATATTGACACAAAGAAAGTTGTAAACTCTGCAGCCATAACTTAGCCAAGTTTAGGGGGGGCTTCAGCTTCCCCACTGCTTTCAGCATTGAGGTCTCAATCTCATTTTAGAAGTGTAGTGCAAATGAAAAATGGACACATACCCCAAAATGACATTTAAAAATGAGAAACAAATTGTGCTGTTATTTGTATTTTCTATATTGACCATGAAAAATAATACTGTAGAGCTTTTTATTAGACTTTAACAATCAAAATAACAACTCTAGCTGTCAGTAAGACACCCTTCCTGTCAAGGCAGGCACCTTACAGATACCAAGCACTCAATTTAGAAAGCTTCTTGAGAAGATAGAATTTTTATTTTTATTGTAATATTGTCTGGACTTCACAATTTAGCACCGTGTCTTCATTTCCTCTGTTGTGCAAACACGCGTGACAGTATTTTGAAGCTGACTGTTTCTAGAAGACCACTGAGGAAGCCTCAAAGACAGAGAAAAACACAGAGGGAACAATTGCAAAGATTTATTTAGCGCATTCTGTGCTTGGCACTTAGAAACAAAGTTCCGTGCATAGGGCAAATCTTTATACACCTTTTTCTTCATACATATTTTACATACCATTTTTATTGCCCTCTTTTATATTCATAATATCGAATCCCTCACTAGGCATATAAATACATTTATCTACAACACCTCACAACAAATCTCAATAATATCTGTATTCTGTTACTTGGTATTTGCATTTTCACACAACTTAAATGCATAGCTTGCACCAAGCTACAATTGTTTTCTTATTTTTAAAGGTTTTGGAAAAAAAAAAAAGAAAAGAGAAGAAAAAGAAACAGAAAAGGAAGATGTCAAAAGGCAATGATCTATTTGGTTAAATAGAAATCACATGGCAGGCGGGAGGCTGGTGAATACTCAACCTCACTGTTACTGAAATGCTAATGGTTTTCTATGGCAACTCTTGCATGCAAGGTGAGGGAGGCTGGCTGCACTTCCGTACGGCAGAACTCTCTTTCCTCTTTTCTCTTTTCACTCTTCCCTGCTATCTCAGTCTGGACAGTTTCCTCCTTTTGGGTTGAGTGTTACGGGACACATGTTGCCCACAAAGGCTGTCGTCCGTTCAGTTTGGGTGCATCACTTTGGGTCACATCAACAGGAGCTGAGCCCCACTCTCCTCCATGTATCTTTCTGAAGATAAGTCCCTGCTTATGTCACTTGTGGCTTAAAACTTTTTTCTCTCTTCTTTCTCTCCCATCTCTGTCTGCAGGCTGGGTGCTGGTAAGCTCAACCCTCGCAAAGAAACCACTGTTCGGGTAGAGCCATGGTGAAAATGCAGAAATCTCTTTGGGAGGAGAAGCTCCAGCCCAGCAGTGCCATTCCTACGCTACAGTGGAAGAAGACCCACAGGCAACTGTTGGCTTCTGAAATGGGCTGAGCCACCCCAGCAGTGAGGAACGGTCTGGGAAGGGGAAGGTCTTTAAAGCTATGGGCAGTACAGCTTCAGAGGATGAAGCGTTGGGAGACTGCCCTTCTTTGGCACTCAGAGGAGACAGCACAGGGGCATGGCTCCCTCCATGCTGAGAGCTCATACTAGCTGAGAGTTAATGCATAAATGGTGTATTCAGCTGCTTCTCTCCAGCTTCTCATTGAAGTCATGCCCTTCTCTCTGCAGTGTCCAGAAAGAGCAGACATTCCGTGCCAGGTCTGGAGGCCCTGGGCTACAACAAGCTGCAATGGCTGTCAGTCAAGGATTTCCACAAGGTTGTGTGGTGCACACCTAGATGTCTTATGTTCTTATTTATCATTACAATACTAGTTCCACTATAAGTTTGAAGGCAAAAAGGCACTGGGGTGGGTTTACCCCTGGAAACGATGAAGGTCCGGCTGCCTTGGAAGCCAAGGAGAGGCACAGCTTGTTAGACCATGTGCACAGACATCTGTGAGGAGGAGCCCTGAACCGCACCATACTGTCTGTTGTCACAGGCGTTGGCCGTCTGCTGGTTGCCAGAGGGAGGGCTGATCATGTGCATCCCGTGATCCATCCCTGTGGAAAGGTATTGCCTCTCTCCGAAGGCCCCACTGGATGGGGAAGAGCAGAGTAAAGTGCTTTGGGAGGTGGTGAGTTTCTCTGGGCTCGCTGCCAGCCTAGGGGAAGCAGGGAAATTGTATCCATAGAGGTTGTAGGGATTGTGCAGGGAGAAGGCATTGTAGGAGCTCTGCTGCATGTGGCCACCACCAAACATGTGTGAAGAGGAGGAAGTGGAGGCAGGGTTGCCTGCTTGCATGACATACTGAAACTGGGAGCTGGGGAAGGACCCCAGCTGGCCGCTGTATGCCTCCATCTTGCTGTTGCTGGGCAGAGAGGAAGGGTTTGGCATTGCTGAGATCAAGGATGGAGTCCTTTGAGGCATGAAGGTTTCAGAGGGCTGCGAGGCAGAGGCGGTGCTGCTCTGCAGCCGGTTGTAGCCCCCCTCGCTCAGCCCTGGGTAGCTCTGCAGGGCAGCCATGTTGCTTCTGGCACACGGGGGATAATCAGATAGGTTGAGGTTGCAAAGCTGACTCTCTCGGCAGCCAACGTTGAAAGTGTTGGGGGCCAGATGAAAGGCTGGAGGGGAGCAGGATGGAGAGAGAAGATGAGATGAAGCAGAGGGCGATGGAGTCCCCGTGCTGGAGGTGGTCGGGGAAGTGCCTGTGCTCCCTCCTGCAAAACAAAACACACAGGAGGATGTTCAGAGCCTGGGATCACATCTGCAAAACGAGACGGTCTAATTAAAAAACAGCTTAGTTTAATAAAGAAACAAGGGTGGTAAAATGGCTGCTGGAAAATTCAGTCTTTCTTGGCAAGGGCCCTCATTTTATTAATAGCATCACTTGGTATTAAGAAATCCTTCTGCTTTTTTGTTATGACTTTGTTTTCCAATGGAGGTTTTCTTCGCTTTTAAAATCGGAGAGGGAAGCAAGCCTGCCACAGAGCAATCCAAGGTAGTGGGAAAAGCTGCAAGGAAACATCACTCCATCAGTCAAGAGATCTGCCATTTCCAGGCATGTTTATCTAGTCCTTTTTTTTGGGGGGGCTAAAAAAAGTAATTTCTCTTCTCTCCTGGGCAGCAGGAAGACCACCAGTCAGTGAGCAGCTTATGGCCCCACTGCAAACATGCTCTGTCATCTGCTTAGGGGGCCTGCTGCAGGAAGTGGCTGAAAGCATGTTGGCTTTCTGCACCATTCAACAGTTTTTTTCAGATGGCTCATGGTGCAGTGGTATTGATTTAAGCCAGAAGTAACACTAAAGTGAATGGACACAATCTCAAGCTGTAGCCTGTTCCATAGAGCAGAGAAAGGAGATGTGTCAGGATTTTCAGTCATATGCTTCAACTTTAAAAAGGATTCCATATGTTGTATCACTGGTATTAACAAAATATTAATATGTATGCATGTCAGTAGTATCAATGTGTTTTATAATATTTATGCTATGGACAATAGAACTGATGATTTTGCACAGCAGGGATGCTCTCATGTTCTGAACTGGAAAAACAACACTGTGTAATACTACCAACAGCAATAACAAACTGAAAGTAAGCAATATGAAGAAGCTGACAGCATAATTTTGAGCTTGAGAAGGGATTATTTATAAGCAAAATTCTGAGTTAGGGGAAGCTTCTTTGGTCCCTCAGGAAAATAATTTCTCTGTTTAAGGAAATATAATTTTCTGGTGTGAAACTTTTATTTTTTCCCCGTTTGAATTACTCTCTTTATATGAGATCCCATTTTTGCATTAAGGCTACTAACACTGGAGTCTCTTGTAAAAGAAGCAGAGGTACTGGTGAAGAGATTTGACCAGGAGATAAGTAGAACCAGAGGAAATAGTAAGACAGTTGATGAGGGAGCACTTTGGACAAGCTAGAAAATGACAGGTGAGAGGCAAAGGGACTGGAAAAGAGAGTGTTAAGAGTGGGCAACTGAAACTTATCAAAGGCAGAGATTGTACATTGAGGATCAAAAAGAGACAGCTTTCTCTTGTGTTGACTTGTGAAAAAAAAACCAGCAGGATTCTGAGACCAGTTTAGGTCTGCTGCAGAACTGGGGAGGAAATGAATGCAGTGCTCCTTGATGAAAAGAGAATAGGTGGCCCTAATGGTTAAGAGATGCACAAAAAGACAGGTTGTGTCAGTATATGATGGTGAAAATGTAAATGAGATTACATCTGACTCTTTCTAAAACATCTAGGATAATATGGAATGGGATATTAGGGTGAAAATGTAGCTTTGAGGCACTAACACTTGGGATATTTTTTGTGCTTTGTTATTGTTTTGGGGTTTTGTTTATTTGTTTGTTTGTGGGTTTTGTTTGTTTTGTTTTGTTTTGTTTTTAAATCTAAAGCCAGAAAAAAGAAGAAAAACAGCCTTTGGTAAGCACAGTCTGGAGTGGCTGCCGTTCACCCAGGCAGCATCAAGAAAAATCATGTTTCTAGGTTGCTGAGTCAAAGCAGTCATTCCCATTACCAACCTTGGGGAGGAATGCTTATTGCTAAATCATTAACTTTTTTTATCATTCATTCAGAAACATAAAAGAGAAGCATTGGATCAAAATTCTATTAAAATTAATGGAAAACTTGAAGTTTCAAATGGCATCATGAACTCTCTCTATTCCCTTCTTGACGACACCGGAATGCTCAAACATGCTAGTGCATCTTAGCTCCAGAGTTCAAAGACTTTTTGTGTGAATTTCTGATTTAGCATTTCTTCTAAAAGGTACAATTCCCTGGTTCATTCAAAGTCTCTGACAGACAATCTATGGCTAATTTTGTTGAGGTAAGCTAAGATGGTACCTCCTTCAGCCTTTCTCCCTGTCTCTCTGTAGCCAGTTGTCAATATTGCAGCAGGGTCAGCAGGAGGGAATTTTTACCTCTATAAGTAGTTTCATTGCAAAGTCAATTTTAGTTGACATTGCTGATAAAAGTGAGACTAAACCTCAGTACACAACTACAGATGTACATTTTCCTTTTAGTCCTGTACTAAAGAAGGTAACCTCCAACAGAGAGGGCAGGCAGACAACTGAGTCCATGTATTATCACTTAGCTATCAAAGCCTGAAATACAGAGGTCACATAATCACAAAACCAATAAATACAGCACAAAGTGAGGTGCTGCTAACCCACTGTAATCCCACACTTGATTCTCTACACCACATATTTAATGAATAAACTTCAGACAGTGACTTAGTTTCTGATAGTGTCTGGAGAATAAGTAAAAATACATATGTATATAGGCATGAGCATTTAATGATATGTTTGAAATAAACTATGTAGAATGATCTATTAACTGCAATGTCTTCATTCCAGTCTTCCTTTTCCCCATAGTTAACTTTTAAAACCTATGCAAGAGAAGAGCACATACCTTGAGCATTAGGCTTTAAATATCTGCTAAGGAGTTATGATTGAGTTGTACCCATAACTGAGACTTGGGCCTCACAGGGTAAGAGCAAATAGTGATCTCTGATTAGCAATTGAGAGGGTTGCTTAATGGTTCCAAAACTGAGGACTGCACATTTCAGGTTACCCACAAAGAGGGACTGAAGTGATTCTGCTCTGAATTATCCCTATTTGCAGGCCAACAGAAAAACCCTGAAGTGACAACACAGCAATTAGGAAACAAAGTATAAAAGATTTTTTTTTCTTTTTGATTATAATTTTAAAATGATGAGGTGAGAGATCTATCAACCAGAGCAAATGCCAGACCTGGGCAGATGCCAACCACAAGCACAGGACACACAACACTTCTGCTGCAACAGAGCATAACACAGAAGCCTGAAGTTCCTGATCATTTGCAGAATAACCTTTACACCTTTAAGTGGAGCAGGAAACAACACAAAGCAAGGCCAGTCTAAGCTCACTCTCTTCAGAAGGCAAAGAGCTCCACTCTGCTCTGAACAGTATTTCTTATGCGTCTTTGCTGGCAGTACTAAGTATCAGCCAAACGCAACCTGGCCGTTTGTGAAGTTATAACTTGGACTGTAGTTGTTACAAAGTCAGCCAAATACCCCCAGAGATGGCAGCAAGCCCAGCAAGCACATGCGCACTGCGCTACAGTCTCAGATATACAGATGTGTATATCCTTTTAATGGAAGCCACGGATACAAACCAGTCTAGTTAAACCGATACACAATGCTATGTTTAGGTCTGGTTTAAGTCAACTGAAACCACATTTAAGCAAGACGAAAATGAATCCCTCAGTAATTCTCCTCTGTTCATTTTCTTTATCCACTGTTCCCCTTGGAAATATTTGCCAACACCGACAGCATTTACCAGTAATGTCACATTATCTCTCACCTGCATCCTTACCATATTCCCCAAATGATTAATTACTATGGTGACCAATCTGCAAAAGACCATTTTTGGTTCTGCATATATTAGTCCCACATATGTGTGGTTAGCAAGCCAGATTTGTATAACATAAAAGGTTCACAACCTCAAAGCCCCCTCCATTTTATCTGAACCCTGCTTGGCATGGCAGATGGAAGTGTTTGTCCATGCAGCGTCCTGCCATTATGTCCAGGGCTTAGCCAAGCACTTGTGCCATCCCAAAAGGAGTCTGCTCTCTGTCTGGGCATACAAGAGATAACTAAGTCAACTTTACCAAAGGGACAGGAGTGTTCCTTAAAACACTTGAAACAAAAAGTGGAGAATGATCTAGTGCAAGAAAGGTCAAAACTGGACTGACAAGAAATCATTGGTAAGGACTGGGGGGGGTGGGGAAGAAGAATGAAATCAGGATGGAAGATAGGGAAACCCTGTAGAGAGGGTGGGATGTAAAAGCAAACCTTCTTCCTCATGCTGACATTCCCTCATATGACACCATATAAAAATGTTGGCTGGGTGTCAGTGTCAAATACCTACTCACAAGGTTTAGGGGAGAAACTTCAGCTTCTCATCTAGGTACAAATATTAAAAAAAAAATTCTTCTCAAGTAGCTTATTGCTGGTCTTCTCTTGCTGGCATCTGTGTTCTTGTAAGCCTTGGTAATCGTACTCTCTCTGTATGTTCCAAATAGATTCTTGCTTTTTCTTTTACCTAGACTGAGCTTGTGTTACACACAATTTTAGGGTAAACTGCTAGCCCAAACATACCCAGACCCCGGGTATGACGTGCCTTAAAATGAAGGGCTGGAGTATTCTTGAAGCATTCAGCTTGCCAGGATGTCTGAAAGGCAATGAGGACCTCTTCCTCACAGGGCAGGTCACGTAGAGAACTTCTAACACTGCAGTGCAGATGGAAAACACATCTGCCAGCAGCCAGCGTTAGCCAAGGGAGCTTTCTGGCAACAGAAGATAGCAGGGAGAGCTTCAGTGCCAAGGGAGTCTGAAGCAACTGTGCATGGAAAATTTTCTGAGATCTCTCTTATGAATGACATCACACTAGACAGTTGACCCACAACTTATTCCAGCCTCCTTTATCTGAAAGGTGCACATAAATCACGCTCTGGACTCCACTGCAGCATATTTCCCTTGCTGATGTTTTGGGCATCAGTTGCTACTATCACCTGCAGTAGCTCTGCACAAACCTCTCAGTCCTTTAAGTCCTTGCTTAGTGCAGAGGAGGACAGCAAGTGCAAGTTGAAGCTACAGTCAGGAAACCTCAACATAAGTGCCATGCCCTGCGCAATGGCAGAGTCTCATCAGACAGGAAAGAGCTTTAGACTAGTTTGGA